CGTCGAGAGAGAGGCCCTGTGACACGTTGGGGCATCATGAGGCTGGTAGCAACGAGGTCTTGGGAAGCAGAGGCTTGGGCGTGGAGAGTAGTGTTGGGGAGGAGATGAAACAGAAGAACATAAGAACATCAGAGAAGCCAGTGCTGGATCAGGCCAGTGGCCCATCTAGTCCAGCACTCTGGGTCACACAGCGGCCAAAAATACCAGGTGCCAGCAGGAGGTCCAGCAGTGGGGCCAGTCCCTTTAAATGGGGTTTTGCAGAAAGCTGGGGAAACGGCTGAATGACAGGGAGCAGGCTGCTCCCTACCACTCAGCTGTTTCCAGCTGTCCTGTGCAGTCCCACTGCCATTTTTGTTTTTGTTTTCAATCACCCTGACACTCAGAGTGGTGGCAGGCAACAGGAGGTGATGTCAGGGGATCCCCCAGTCCTCCCAGGGGCTTAGCAGCCCTACACTCGACCCACTATCTATTGTACCCACTGGACTTCCTGTGGGTACCACAAAGACTTCCTGTCTGGTACCACAGGGCTTAAGCTAAAGACCCTTTGGACCACTGCCACCAGTGGGTACCTGTGGGTACCACAAAGACTTCCTGTCTGGTACCACAGTGCTTAAGCTAAAGACCTTTTGGACCATTGCCACCTCTCCATATCCTTCGGCCACCAGCATCATTAACATGGCAAATTCTGCTCTCAGGAATACCACCTGCCTGCTGAGCCAGGATCGCAAGGGCCTCGCACCAAGAATGCAGAGCATCCCTTGCCCCAGACTGAGAGTTCCTATCTAGACCTTGTGGCTCATAGCTACTGATGGACCTCTGTTCTTTTTCTTTTTCTTTTTGGATTTTATAAACTTTATTGAAGATCAGACAATACATTTGTAAATCATAGCGCACATACCTAAGTTGAATCGTGTCCATTAATCACACTTACAGTTACATCTTTTGTTCTGAGATCCGTCAGTGCATGCCTCAACTGGAGGTAGAAAAACCACGGGATGTTTCGATGTATAAGATCTTCTAAGGTCTTTTTAGGAAGAAGCCCTTTGGTATTTGAAAGGTCTGTTAGGCCTGTCACCTTAACCATCCTCCACACATCAGCCACGTTTCGATCATTCCCTGGGGAGAACCAGTTTTGGAAGAGAAATGTGGTGAATCCAGATGTCTCTGGGCAATATTTTGAATCTGAGCTGATCCCATGTGTTCAGTATTGCCGAGAAGAAGATATGCTGTTTCATAATTGCAGGTCGTTCCCTAGGACGATTCCATACTATCTCCCTCATTAACTTTGATCTGATAAATTGATATACGGGTGCAATCAGAGAAGCCAATGCTGGATCAGGCCAGTAGCCCATCCAGTCCAGCACTCTGTCACACAGTGACCAGAAATACCAGGTGCCATCAGGAGGTCCACCAGTGGGGCCAGGACACTAGAAGCCCTCCCACTGTTGCCCCCCCAAAGCACCAAGAAGACAGAGCATCCCTTGCCCCAGTGGCTCATAGCCACTGATGGACCTCTGCTCCAGATTTATATCTTGAATGTTTTTGGCATGGTGCCCAAAGGCAGTGGCGTGGTAACGGTGGGGGGGAAGAAGGGGCGCCCCCTGGCAGGTGCCTGACGAGAATTGGGAAAGGGATCTTTGGGGGTGGGGTGGGGGTGACTTGGATAAAGCCCCCCCCCCATGAGGGTGGGGAGAAACAGGAAGCATTTGTTGTTCTTTCCCAGTAGGAACCCCCGGAGGAGTTTCTCATTGGGTGGTGATGGAGCGAGTTCAGGGGTTGTTGTGTGGGCCAGAAGGGCTTTGTATGGGAACTAGATTTGCTTTAGGAGACCGAAAGCGAGGCGGGTGGGCTTGGCGGGGAAAGGCATCTGGCAGGCAGGCGTGGGGCTGGGGGGCGGAGAAGCCGGAGGGTCAGCTGGAGAGGGGCGGGAGGCCTCCGAGGAGGGAGAGGGCCCCGGAAGAGAGGCTGGGAGAGGCTTTGGTGGGTGGAGGAGGGTTGGGG